AGAACACTTCACACAATTTCCCCAGAAATTGTAACTTTTCTAGTTATTATTATTATTATTAGGGCAAAATTTGCCACCCTAACTCCTCCCACAGTTTTTACACTACATAGACAAAAATATACCAAAACGTGCAGATTGTTCCCGATCGGATTGCTATTACTTTGTGGAACGTTTTCGCCGAATGGTTCACGGAATATCGTCGTTTTTGTGGCGCAATTTGTCCCATAAGAATGAATGGTAAAGCTAGAGTGGGAGCTGCCAAAAGCTGAAAAACTAGGACATGATTTCTAAACTGCCACCACTCCCTTATTTTCAGGCCCACCTACACAAATCTTATATCAAAACGTTCAGCTATCCCTGCTGCCACTAAACATGTCAACGGCTAAGCCGTAGTCCTGATAGTTTTCACAATATGACCATTTGTTTGCAACCAACGCCGTCCATTGACATTCATTGAAACTTCACTCTGCAAAGCTCAAATTTGAAGTACAATTTCTAAACTGCGACTGTGCCTTCATTTTTAATACTTCAGAGACATACTATGCATCAAATGTAGGTCTGGGTCTTGTGATTCTCACAATATAAAGCTCTTCTCTGTAGGAGTTATAGTTTTTAAGATACGACCGTTTGAAGATGGCAACCGCCAAAATACTCTGACCTGTGTCAAGCTGCAGCAGCAAGTGATGTCATAGACAGGGCCTTTTGAACACCTGCTAATGTTTTATAAATGTATGGTTTAATGTAACTGTGCAACAACGTTGCAATTAAATGTGCTATGTAAATGATAACAGTTACTCCGCCCACTCCAGTTGTAGACTACTGGTGGAGGCAAGAACACTTCACACAATTTCCCCAGAAATTGTAGCTTTCTAGTTATTATTATTCTTATTCTTATTCTTATTATAGCAAAATTTGCCACCCTAACTCCTCCCACAGTTTTTACACTACATAGACAAAAATTTACCAAAACGTGCAGATTGTTCCCGATCGGATTACTATTACTTTGTGGAACGTTTCGCCGAATGGTTCACGGAATATCGTCGTTCTTGTGGCGAAATTTGTCCCATAGGAATGAATGGCAAAGCTAGAGTGGGAGCTGGCAAAAGCTGAAAAATCAGGATATGATTTCTAAACTGCCACCACTCCCTTATTTTCAGGCCCACCTACACAAATCTTATATCAAAACGTTCAGCTATCCCTGCTACCACTAAACATGTCAACGGCTAAGCCGTAGTCCTGATAGTTTTCACAATATAATCATTTGTTTGCAACCAACGGCGTCCATTGACTTTCATTTGAAACTTCACTCTGCAAAGCTCAAATTTGAAGTGCAATTCTAAACTGCGACTGTGCCTTCAATTTTAATACTTCAGAGACATACTTATGCGTCAAATGTAGTCTGGGCTGTGATTCTCACAATATAAACTCTTCTGGAGTTAGATTTTTAAAGATGAAACCGTTTGAGATGGCAACCACAAATATAGGCCTGTGTCAAGCTGCAGCAGCAAGTGATGTCATAGACAGGGCCTTTTGAACACCTACAATATTTTTATAAATGTAGTTTTAGTAACTGTGCAACAACGTTGCAATTAAATGTGCTATGTAGATGATAACGGTTACTCCAGCCCTCCGGTTGTAGACTACAGGTGGAACGCCACACAATTTCCCCTGAGAGTAGCTTTCTAGTTAAGTGTTTCTTGCCGCCGAGACTCCCACTTAATGTTATCTCACATATATATTATTATTAAGTGTTCTTGCATAGCAAGACCACTTAATGTTATCTCATATATATTATTATTATTATTATAGCAAAATTTGCCACCCTAACTCCTCCCACAGTTTTTACACTACATAGACAAAAATTTACCAAAACGTGCAGATTGTTCCCGATCGGATTGCTATTACTTTGTGGAACGTTTCGCCGAATGGTTCACGGAATATCGTCATTCTTGTGGTGAAATTTGGCCCATAGGAATGAATGGCAAAGCTAGAGTGGGAGCTGGCAAAAGCTGAAAAATCAGGACATGATTTCTAAACTGCCACCACTCCCTTATTTTCAGGCCCACCTACACAAATCTTATATCAAAACGTTCAGCTATCCCTGCTGCCACTAAACATGTCAACGGCTAAGCCGTAGTCCTGATAGTTTTCACAATATAATCATTTGTTTGCAACTAACGCCGTCCATTGACTTTCATTAAAACTTCACTCTGCAAAGCTCAAATTTGAAGTGCAATTTCTAAACTGCGACTGTGCCTTCAATTTTAATACTTCAGAGACATACTATGCATCAAAATGTGGGTCTGGGTCTTGTGATTCTCACAATATAAAGCTCTTCACTGTAGGAGTTATAGTTTTAAGATACGACCGTTTGAAGATGGCAACCACCAAAATACTCTGACCTGTGTCAAGCTGCAGCAGCAAGTGATGTCATAGACAGGGCCTTTTGAACACCTGCTAATGTTTTTATAAATGTATGGTTTAATGTAACTGTGCAACAACGTTGCAATTAAATGTGCTATATAAATGATAACAGTTACTCCGCCCACTCCAGTTGTAAACTACTGGTGGAGGCAAGAACACTTCACACAATTTCCCCAGAAATTGTAGCTTTTCTAGTTATTATTATTATTATTATTATTATTATAGCAAAATTTGCCACTCCTCCCACAGTTTTTACACTACATAGACAAAAATTTACCAAAACGTGCAGATTGTTCCCGATCGGATTGCTATTACTTTGTGGAACGTTTCGCCGAATGGTTCACGGAATATCGTCGTTCTTGTGGCGAAATTTGTCCCATAGGAATGAATGGCAAAGCTAGAGTGGGAGCTGGCAAAAGCTGAAAAATCAGGACATGATTTCTAAACTGCCACCACTCCCTTATTTTCAGGCCCACCTACACAAATCTTATATCAAAACGTTCAGCTATCCCTGCTGCCACTAAACATGTCAACGGCTAAGCCGTAGTCCTGATAGTTTTCACAATATGACCATTTGTTTGCAACCAACGCCGTCTATTGACATTCATTGAAACTTCACTCTGCAAAGCTCAAATTTGAAGTGCAATTTCTAAACTGCGACTGTGCCTTCAATTTTAATACTTCAGAGACATACTATGCATCAAAATGTAGGTCTGGGTCTTGTGATTCTCACAATATAAAACTCTTCACTGTAGGAGTTATAGTTTTTAAGATACGACCGTTTGAAGATGGCAACCGCCAAAATACTCTGACCTGTGTCAAGCTGCAGCAGCAAGTGATGTCATAGACAGGGCCTTTTGAACACCTGCTAATGTTTTTATAAATGTCTGGTTTAATGTAACTGTGCAACAACGTTGCAATTAAATGTGCTATGTAAATGATAACAGTTACTCCGCCCACTCCAGTTGTAGACTACTGGTGGAGGCAAGAACACTTCACACAATTTCCCCAGAAATTGTAGCTTTTCTAGTTATTATTATTATTATTATAGCAAAATTTGCCACCTTAACTCCTCCCACAGTTTTTACACTACATAGACAAAAATTTACCAAAACGTGCAGATTGTTCCCGATCGGATTGCTATTACTTTGTGGAGCGTTTCGCCGAATGGTTCACGGAATATCGTCGTTCTTGTGGCGAAATTTGTCCCATAGGAATGAATGGCAAAGCTAGAGTGGGAGCTGCAAAAAGCTGAAAAATCAGGACATGATTTCTAAACTGCCACCACTCCCTTATTTTCAGGCCCACCTACACAAATCGTATATCAAAACGTTCAGCTATCCCTGCTGCTAAACATGCTTGGCTAAGCCGTGATATCGTTCACAATACTTATTGTTTTGCAATAACGCCGTCCGTGACATTCATTGAAACTTCACTCTGCAAAGCTCAAATTTGAAGTGCAATTTCTAAACTGCGACTGTGCCTTCGACAATACTTCAGAGACATACTATGCATCAAAATGTAGGTCTGGGTCTTGTGATTCTCACAATATAAGCTCTTCACTGTAGGAGTTATAGTTTTTAAGATACGACCGTTTGAAGATGGCAACCACCAAAATACTCTGACCTGTCAAGGCTGCAGCAGCAAGTGATGTCATAGACAGGGCCTTTTGAACACCTGCTAATGTTTTTTATAAATGTATGGTTTAATGTAACTGTGCAACAACGTTGCAATTAAATGTGCTATATAAATGATAACAGTTACTCCGCCCACTCCAGTTGTAGACTACTGGTGGAGGCAAGAACACTTCACACAATTTCCCCAGAAATTGTAGCTTTTCTAGCTATTATTATTATTGCCAAATTTACCACCCTAACTCCTCCCACAGTTTTTATACTACATAGACAGTAATATACCGAAACGTGCGGATTGTTCCCGATTGGCTTGCTATTACTTTGTGGAACGTTTCGCCGAATGGTTCACGGAATATCGTCGTTCTTGTGGCGAAATTTGTCCCATAGGAATGAATGGCAAAGCTAGAGTGGGAGCTGGCAAAAGCTGAAAAATCAGGACATGATTTCTAAACTGCCACCACTCCCTTATTTTCAGGCCCACCTACACAAATCTTATATCAAAATGTTCAGCTATCCTTGCTGCCACTAAACATGTCCACGGCTAAGCCATAGTCCTGATAGTTTTCACAACATAACCATTTGTTTGCAACTCACGCCGTCCATTGACATTCATTGAAACTCCACACTAGCCAGCTCATATTTGAAGAGCAATTTCTAAACTGCGACTGTGCATTCATTTTTAATATTTCAGAGACATAATATGCATCAAAATGTAGGTCTTCGCTGTAGGATGTATAGTTTTTAAAATACGACCACTTGAAGATGGCAACCGCCAAAATACTCTGACCTGTGCCAGGCTGGAGCAGCAAGTGATGTCATAGACAGGGCCTTTTGTACACCTGCTAATGTTTTTATAAATGTATGTTTTAATGTAACTGTGAAGCACTTTGGGCAACAACGTTGCAATTAACCCCTTAAGGACTGGACTGTTTTTGCGATGTTGTACATTTGCGACCAGGCATATTTTTACACTTTTGTGGTGTTTGTGTTTGGCTGGAATTTTGCGCTCTCTCGTTTACTGTTCCCATACAAATTATATATTGTTTTTTTCAGGACAAAAGGGGCTTTCTTTACATACCATTATTTATATAATCTCATGTATTTTAATAAAAAAAAAATATGATGAAAAATTGAAATAAATACATGTTTTTTTACTTTTACTTGAAAAATCTCTTACTCATCTACAAAAGCCAATGAAAAAAACTGCTAAATAGATTCAAAATTTTGTCCTGAGTTTAAAAATACCCCGTGTTTACGTGCGTTTTTGCTTTTTTTTGCATGTTATAGGGCTATAGGTACAAGTAGGATATTGCGGTTTCAAAACATACATTTTTAAAATTTATCAATAGTGACATTGTAACACTATTATCTGTCATAAATCTCTGAATAACACCCCACATGTACATATTTTTTTAAAAGTAGACAACCCAGGGTATTCAATATGGGGTATGTCCAGTCTTTTTTTAGTAGCCACTTAGTCGAAAACACTGGCCAAAGTAAGCATTCATATTTGTTTGTGTGTGAAAAAAGTAAAAAAACTAAATTGAGCGCTAATTTTGGCCAGTGTTTGTGACCAAGTGGTTACTAAAAAAGACTGGACATACCCCATTTGCAATACCTTGGGTTGTCTTCTTTTGCAAATAGTATGCCATCATGGGGGTAATTCTCATTCCTGGGCTACCATACGCTCTCAAAGGCAGCGTAACCAACCTGGCCATTTTCAATGTAAAAATATTTGACCCATATATTTGACCTTGTAACTTTCAAAAATGCTATAAAACCTGTACATGGGGGGTACTGTTTTACTCCGGAGACATCGCTGAACACAAATATTAGTGTTTAAAAACTGGAAAACGTATCACAACAGTTATATCATCAGTAAAAGTGCTGTTTGTGTGTGAAAAATGCAAAAAAGTCACTTTCACTGACAATATCATCGCTGTGATATGTTTTACTGTTTTGAATCACTAATATTTGTGTTCAGCGAAGTCTCCCGAGTAAAACAGTACCCCCCATGTACAGGTTTTAGGGTGTCGTAGAACGTTACAGGGTAAAATACAGTGCTAGCAAATTCAATTCTCTGGAATTTAGGCCTGGGTTGGCAGGCAGGTCCCTCAAATTGCAATCAATAAAATTACTGAATTATGTAAAAATATTACATAAATATGCACATAGAATTTAAATATATATGCATATTTATATAGTTTAAGTCTACGTGTATATTTATATAATTATTTATGTAATTTTGTATATGACATATGTATATTTCTTATTATTTTTATTTATTTTTATATACATAGATATATATACAAATTCATTCTAAGTGTATTTTGATATAAATATATATATATTAATTTTAAAATACAGTTAGAATAAAATTTCATATAGATATATATTTTTTTTTTAATTTTTATTATTATTTTTAAATTTTTTTATTTAATTTAAATTACTTATTATTTATATTTTATAATACTATATATATACAATATATATAGTTATTATATATATTATATATATACATGTGTAATTTAATTATAAGTGTATTTTTATATTAATATAAGTACATATTAATATAAAAATACACTTAGTATGACATTATATATATATATATGATATATAGACATATATTATATTGATATAATATATGTCTATATATCATATATGTATACACATATAATTATTTTTTTTTATTAACACTAACTTTATTTTTTTTTCTGATTTTACACTAGCAGGGAGACTGCCTGTCAGCACAGGCAGTCCCCCTGCAGGCAGACACATGGACACCTATTGTGACCATGTGATCGCTGTGTTAAGCGATCACATGGCCACAGGGGTCCTAAATCAGTGTGGGGAGACTGTCTGGGCTGCAGGTAGTCTCCCCACAACCGGAGCAACGCTGATCGCCGCCGGGGGAACGACGGCGATCAGGTAAGTAACTCAGACCGTTAGGACGGTTCAGGACCGTCAGCGGTCGGCAAGGCAAAAATGCCGATGACGGTCCTGAACCGTCCTCGGTCCCTAAGGGGTTAAATGTGCTATATAAATAAATAATAACAGTTACTCCGCCCACTC